ATAGCATATGGTCAATATACCAAAACAATTACGATGAATGGGAAGAGAGTCAGACTAGTGAACTTCAAGGGGTAAGTGGCATTCCTACTCTAAGATTCCAGGATTCTAAGTTCTAACCTTTTAAAGGCTTACAGTACTGAAAAAATATCCCAGCCACAATGTGTTGAGTGCTTAATATGTGCAAAGCACTATGTGTCAAGGAAAACTGTTGATAAATAGGGGAGTAGGAACTCATCTCACACACTTGTATAACTGCATCTCACATTAAATCAAGGGAAGCAACCCGAAAGGCCCTGCCAAAAGCAAGCAACAGCTTATGACAGTCTCCTCCCCAAAGGGCAACTGAATTATTAGATTTCATATAACATAAATATGAGGCCTTTGTAGGAAGACAATATAGGCTCTGGTCAGGAAACAGGAAGGACAGAATTGGGAGAAATAAGTCTAGAAAGGAGACTGCCATCCCAGGTCAGGGACGCTGTGGATGGACACGTCTGGTCAGAGCTTGGGGACTGTTGACTGACACATGGTAACCCCAAATACCCTATCCAGTAACCTGAGAGGCAGGTCATCCAGTACAGTACTTATAAATTATCTCCACCTACTACATATTAAATGCTCTTCACAGAGCACAGACAGTGAGGAGGATGAGATCTATCTACACAGAAGTTGCAATATTTTATTCCTCACCTTAGTCTTCTTTGGAGACCACTGGCAGAGAATAACTGAACTTGCTGAGGGAGGGACTGTGGCATTGTCACTCCCAGCAAAGAACCTTACAAGGCAAAAACATCTTCAACAAGTCTCCCTTAGCTTTTCTCTAATAACAGAAACGAGCTATCTGTAAAACCTACAGAAAAACATGTTATGTTATTTGCTAATAATATACCTATTTTCAGAGGAAATAACTTTTTTCTAGTCTCAGTTTTAGCCAAAAAACAACCAACCCACCCACTATGAACCTAGTGATTAGTTGCACCCATAACTGTATAAAGAGACTAGAATGGATGCAACTAGACATCAAACCTGCTGTGGAATTTTTATATATGCTTCATTTTGTTACTATAGAGAGAAACACAAATAAACCTCTAGTTGGTCTATAAGAACATCACCAAAGCAAACCAGATTGGAAAAAGCACTCAACCATTTTGCTGTAGCTCCTACACAGGACTGCATTTTGCAGCCAGGACTCCTCAGCACCCAGATGTACAGAGCCTCCACCAACCTACCCAAACCACAACTGTGGGCTTGGTTTGATGAGATTCCAATTGGGAGAACTAGCTGGTTTTTGCCTCTAAACGCTGGCAGTGGCTTTCCAATGTGATACCTAGTGATTCCGGCCTATCAAGAGCTTTGTGGTCAGTCCTACTTACCTTGGAGAGGCCTTATCTCCCAGCACACTGTCAGGGAATGGCAGTCAACCCACTGCTTCTATCAGTTTAGCCAAGCCCAGCAGATATGAGCATGGTTCTCACTGACAAGAGACAGTTGGTTTACTGGAGTTAAAGCAACTACAAAACCCAGCCTGTGTAGGATTTGGGGAACACATGCTTATATCTCAATAGAAAAATTAAGAGGAATTAATTCTATAGATTGGTAGTAACTAAGGAAAAGTCATATTGCTGTTTTATTTTATCAGCTAGGTCAGTTTTGCAGCTTCTTTAGTTCCTTTTTACTTAACTTTGTCAAGGTATAGAAGGACAGCTGTCTGGGCTGTGCACCAGGCAACATCCCAGAAAAACACTCACTCCACAGCATCAGTTGGTTTTGTGCCTCATGCGGGGTGGGGTGAACGAGAAAGGAGAAAAGCATCAATCACAAAGTTTTTCTGAAAGACTTATAAGAATGTTATGACAGGTTTTTTGACTTTATAAAATATAAAAAGAACACTATATTTTATTAGTTAATCTCACCACTCTTAATCATAAAGATATTATTTTACCTAACTAGAGTTCTTGCACACTTATTTACAGTCAATTTTGCTTCAATTTTCTATTATATTTTTTCTGATTATGTAAGTGAGCTGATCATGCAACTAAGAGGCTGATAAATATGGGAATTATTACAGGATCAACATTTTTTATGAGCTACAGCTCAGGTTGTTGGTATAGTAGCAAAGGGAATATGAAAAAAAAAATTCTAGTCTGCCGTGGATTCAGGTTTAACATGCCTACGCTTCATTTAAATGCCTGAATCTTAATCCCTTTTACAAATTAGCATGGGTCCTTAGTTCAGATGTGAAAGGAAATTAAATTTCACTTTAAAACAACAAAGCTACAGACAGTGGAAAACCAGAAAACACTAAAACAAAATACTGGTTAAATAATTATGGGAAGCACGGCGGCGCTCCCGCCCGAGGGTTCGGATCCCACATACAGACCGGTTCTGCTCACTGGGGTCCCGGTCCGGTACGGGGGCGACACTGAGGGTTGCAATCTGTTGCCAGACACGGAAAAAGACAAAAAAATAATAATAATTATAACAAAATCTCGTTTATCAAAAATCCATTAACCAGGAACGTGTGGTAGTTCAAAAAGGCACAAGACCAAAGTGTACCTTTGGCCTAATTGTGTAAGAGTTTGCTAAATCAGTTACTAGTGGAAAATATAGTTCAAAAAGAAGGCTGAAACCTCTAGAGACTGTTTCTTGTATGCTTAACTAATTTTAGACATTTACAATGCTGAATGACATCTTAGTTATAAATTATTCTTATCCATAACTTAAATTCATCTTGAGCCTCGACTAAGCACATCTTCCTTAACCTACTTATAGGATGTACTGTAGTGATGAAAGTAGCCTTTCATTTTAAAAATGAGAATGAAATGAATTTTAAAATGAAAATGAAAGCCTTTTCCTAAATCGGACTATCCTTCCCTACCAGTTTCCTTAGAGCAAAGCAGGCTGTTGGTTTAATATTCTGGTTTAATACATGAAATCTAGAAGAAGCCTCCCTGGGTTCAAATCCCCCTTCTACCATTTGGGCATGTTCTTTATGGCCGTAATGCNAAGTGTACCTTTGGCCTAATTGTGTAAGAGTTTGCTAAATCAGTTACTAGTGGAAAATATACTTCAAAAAGAAGGCTGAAACCTCTAGAGACTGTTTCTTGTATGCTTAACTAATTTGAGACATTTACAATGCTGAATGACATCTTAGTTATAAATTATTCTTATCCATAACTTAAATTCATCTTGAGCCTCGACTAAGCACATCTTCCTTAACCTACTTATAGGATGTACTGTAGTGATGAAAGTAGCCTTTCATTTTAAAAATGAGAATGAAATGAATTTTAAAATGAAAATGAAAGCCTTTTCCTAAATCAGACTATCCTTCCCTACCAGTTTCCTTAGAGCAAAGCAGGCTGTTGGTTTAATATTCTGGTTTAATACATGAAATCTAGAAGCAGCCTCCCTGGGTTCAAATCCCCCTTCTACCATTTGGGCATGTTCTTTATGGCCGTAATGCCTCCATTTCCTCATCTGTAAAATGGAAAACATAAAAGACTTAAAAACTGTAAAACACAGAACAATGCCTGGCCCCTTAAAAGCGAACTCTTGTATAGACTGCAGTTCAGAGATGCGAGTTACACTCGGTCACACCCCCAGGACACCACTGAGAGAAACTTCTGTGACATGTTAACCATTCAGCACATACTGGTTTTTAAAGTCCCCCTTTCCTTCAAGGCTCAAGGGCATCTTTTCAGGCCGCAGTGCATTACCACGGTTTCGATTCTCCAAACCTTCTTTCCTTCTGGCCTCTAGCCACTCAGCCTAGCCTGCCATGAACTTCTGGTTAATTATGCATAAGCTTTATCCGAGCCACCCCTCCTGTCTCTATGAATTGGACTTCATTCTCCAATTTATGCTGAATGCACCTCTTCCCTGGAGTCTTTCCCTCACCCACGCCCTTCCCTATGACCGGCCCTTCAGCCTGAAAAGGCTCCGCTTTGGTGCCCCTTCTGAATGAATTCCTCAGAGCCACAGAGGCTTTCTGAGTCGCCCTGTCACCATCTGAAATTTTTCATTAAAATGCGGAATTTGAGCAGCCTGTCCTGAGCTGTCGGACTTTGGGCTCCAAACAAGAGCTCCAGTGAAAGACCACGACAAGAGGATGGGTGAGCTGCAGTTCCGAGCGCTGGCGAGCACGTTCGGACAGGACAGGAGTGAGGGGAAAGGGAACGTGGTGACGCACCTGAATAAACCCGCTAGATTTACTCGGGAGATGAAAGGAGATTAAGGCTTGATGGAGTGCGCAGAGAGGCTGAGGCACACACGCGCGCACACGCGCGCACACTCACGCAGAGATGACAGAGGGAGAGAGAGCCGCAGCCCCAGGTAACTGACAGTGACACGGCCCTGATCCGGACACGGCCTCAACGCCCCCGATCTCCGGAGCGCCCCCTCCCCGGCCACCTCGGGAGATGACGGCCAGCGCACGACCCCGGCCGGGATC